GTAAAATCCATGAATCACTGTGCCGTAAAATTATTGTATAAAATTTTATGGCAGAAATGAATTTTTCATTAAAAAGGAATTAGAGATGCTGTATTCAAAGTACTTTTCACTCTAGTTTCAGGTAAAATTTTTATAGTCTACATAAAAGCAATTTTGATTAATGTTTAACTGCGGGTTTATTCATTAACAAAATGAATAAGCATAATTAAAGAAAATATTGATTTATTATTTTTCCGACGAAGCATTTTAAATTTGTTGAATAAAATTTGACAAAAATCAGCAAATATCCGTTTTTTAAAATGAGGTTGATTTCAGAAGCTCTGTCCAAGGAAAGACATAACAATCTTTTTATGAGCTGAAAGCAGCACATTTTTCATTGCACTTACATTAGCCTGTCCTTGTTAAAATGAATTCAAACCTTTTCATTTTAATATTCAACACATCGCGGTTATTCATACTGTGTTACAACAATTGTTTTGCTTTAGACAAAGGACACACAAAAATATCGATACATTAATAAAGATGCTTACTTTAATTAATATACATTATCAGTTAATAAAATACATAATTAATATACATTTTGTGATATTATGATTCGAGTTCTAATTTTTTATTTCTCCCTCGCCAAATTGTATTCCAATTTTCGTCAATTTTTTTTTCCTCCATGTGAATTGAATTTTATAATCTACCCAAACACCTTAGTTATTCAAACAAGTTGTTCAAATGCTAAAATGTAATATGTAAAAGTAGTTCAGTATGGATTTCTGAGTTTAATTTTAATAAAACATATTGCTGAAAATTAGTCATCATATTTTCGGCTTTATAATTTCGTACAATTTGTATAGCTACTTTTTTAACGCCGGGTTAGAATCTTTGATTTAAATAAAGACATGATTTTTTTGTTAATGAAACAAATTCGTGGCAGGTGAAATGCATTTCACTATTTACATGCATCAAGAAGTATTAAAAAAAATTTTCTTTTTAAAATTAGTAAATCACTTGAAAGTCTGGTGATTCGATTGTTTAAACTAAACTTGCAATCACTCTAAATTGTTGTTTTAATTCAATTTAGAGACTGAATACATACAATTACAGTAGACTTAATTTTTCAGATTTTAAAAATATCTTTAAAGTAAGAAACTTATTTACTATCAAGTAAAAAAAGAAAGAAAGATGTTAGTAAGAAGCTAATCAATAGAAAGAAGGCGAAGAAAGCATTTCCTCCATCGTAATTCAAAATTCATAAATCTGTATAGATTACTGTTATAATTATTAGCATTTGATGTTTGTATGTGCATAATAATAAATTAAAAAATATCCAAAAATCTATTTCGAAACTTGTTCTCACTGGCTGTATTAAACTTTAAAAATTTCAGTAAATAAGTTTGAAATTAATAATAAGAGAATACATAATTTGAAATCATATCTTTCTCTTATAAATACTTATTTCCTCAAAGCCAATTTTTTTTTTTATCAAAGGTCATTTTTATTCTTGAATAAAAAAAATATTAAAACACAAAATATTAATATAAATAAAAAATATTAAAACAAAATAATTTAATCATTTGATGCATTATAATTTGATGCTTTATGAAATATTTGAAAGAAAAAAAAGTGTTGTTAAATATTTACTACTTAACATTTGCTTATCTATACTAGAGCAATCTGAAGGGTATCTTGCTCGGTATAATTATTTACAGTACCTTATTACCTTTTTTTATCCAGATGACTTCAATAATTAGAAGATATTTTACAAAGTAGCTATAAAAAGAAATATAATATAAATTGCTTGTAATTTGTTTGCTATGTTGCTTTGCTTGCTTGCTTTGTATTATCAAACTAGTTCTATATCAATATATAAATGATATTCTTTCATTTTAATTCTTAATAATAAAAATGATTAAGAAATTTGTTCTAACCAGGGACTAATATAGGGGATCTTTATCTCTATATCTATGATTCTAACACAAGAAAAAAGTTGTGATACTTAGCATTATGAACAAATTTTAACCTTTTGTGCTGCCATCTATGGACAAAAAAACATTTTAATATAAATATTTATAAATTTTTGTGGTGCTGCCATCTACAAAATTTTAAAGAGAGCTTAACTTGTATAATTTTATTTGTTTGATATTCAAACTATTGAAAATTTATTTTTATTGTTCTTAATTTTGGTAATTTTGATGTAATTTTCGAAAAAGATAAAATAAGTGAAAATAGGCATCGGTTGTAGATCATTTTAAAAATGCATCTCTCAAACGAACCCTTGAACCCTAAAAAAAGAAAATATATAAATATTAATTTAAAATTTGAATTAATTAGTGATATTCCTTAAATACGAAAAAATCAGTAAAAACTAAATACGAAAAAAAGTTCAAAATTGTCACTTCTTTCACACCTTCAGTAAGTCTTTTCTACTTGATTAAAGTGTTAAATAAAAGTACAATCAAAATCCAAGCTTTAGTGCTGCTACCTATATGTCAGTTAACAATCTAGATTCACATGAACAATATAAAGCTTCCATGAACTTTATTACAGAATAATATTCTAATCGAACTCAGCAAATTAATTAATTTTGTTATAATCTTTTAAAAAATATCAATAAGTAAAATATTTTTATAATATATATTTATATATATAACAATTTTAATAAAGAATATAGNATATATATATATATATATATATTTTTATGCATTAGTGTAATTTATTATTCATCTATTAGTATAATTTATTATTTATATATTTTATATTTTATTGATGTATATTATGTATTTATTTATATTGTTTTTATAATATTTATACGAATGTTATCACGCATTTTCATTTCATTTAGGTTTTTCTGACTGAGTTCCTATTTTTTCATTAGAAAAATATATATTTTGTTGTCATTAGAAAAATATATTCAACCCCCTCTTTCTCGCTCCCGTGATATTGATGAGCTGGAGTGTTCAGTAGTAATGCGCTAATAAGAATAAAACTAAATCATTTATTTTGCCCGGAAAACATTTTATTTCTCATTTTACACACAATATAGCAGTACCAGGATATTTTTAAGGTAATTGAAAATAATTAGTTTATTTTAAACTAGATACTCGCTTTAATCAAATACGTGTATTTGGTAAAATAGACACTTTTATGACAGTTTTCTTGAAAATTAACCGATCGTTAAGGGGTTAATGTAGGTTTTCGGTATTTTTTAAATGAATTATAGGGGATATCAAACTGATATCAACAAATTATTTTTAATTTTAAGAAATCACAACAGTAATTGAAGCAACAAATGAAAATTAGCACTGGTGGGAAAATTTTTTTTTTCTTTGATGATGTTTTGCTGTGAGTTAAAACTGGAACTGATGATTATCATCACCTAACTTTAAAGCATCCTTAATTAAATCGGTTAAATGAAACAATCAAGTTTATGATTAACCTTGTGAAAAAATGGATCCCAAATAAGGATACTGGTTAGTAGTCATCATGCAATCCATTTTTAATCTCCACTATTATAAATTTCAAATGGTGTTGTTCATCATCATCATCACAGTGTGAAAAGAAAAACTCAACATAATTATTGTCAATTTTAAATTTCAAATTAGATTTTATGTAATTTACACACCACACTCACAAACTATTTCTGTAAATAAATGGTAAATCGAGAATTTCCAAAAATATCTTTATGCTTCTTTTTATTATGATTTTCAAAAAAAAATAATGTTGTTAATAGAATTCTAATATTTAATTCTAAATTAATTCAAATAATTCTAATAATTAATTCTAAATATTTACGAGTTTCGATAACATTTATATATTTTTTTAAATATATTATTTATTTTAAACACATCTGTTAAAACTTTTATATTTTCAACAAAGTAAAGCGCATAATCATTAAAGTATTCAAGTCTTGAATTCTAAACTTAGAAAATTAAAAGTTTTCTCAAGATACTTTCATTTCAGACAGTTTCAGACATTTCAGTTTATTTATTAAAATTTTCTCATAATTAGTATAATTTTATAAAACTGAACGCTTAAAATAGTTAATTTGGTATATATTAGAGTAATAATATTATTGTTAATATTAGTCTTATTAACTTTACATGTTCCATATTTTAAATAAGTTTTATTTAAGTGGCAAGACATCAACTTATTAAAGTTAGCACGTGGCATTTACTAACATCAATTTAAAAAAAATATTTAGAAAAAAAGATGAAAGTAAGTATTTCAGAATAAGTTTATTTCATTCTATTGTTATATTTATCAAATTATAATTTTAATTAATAATTTTATTTACTAAATAAAATTTCCACTATGGTTTTTTTACCCCTCTAAACTACTGCATAAAAAAACTATTGTATTAACATGGTATTAACACAGACTTGGTTCTCTAGATTCAGTTACTGAATCATCAAATCTGATATTTTTGCTCGGTCACCATTATAACTTCTTTAACAAATCAGTTTTAAAATTTTTATTTATTTTCTGTTTACAATAAACACTTATTAAATATTTTTCGTCACAGAGATTATTTAGTAATAACGCGAAAGGGAAAAGTTGATCATTAATATTGCTTTCGAATTTTAAATAGCCATCTTGCCTAGTTTGACATAAAATTGATGTTTGAAACTGAATTATTTTTAGAATTATTTTAGTTCAATATAAAAGTGAAAATAATTTATTGCAAATGAAACATAATTTATTTGCCGTTTAATAATTACAAAACAGTGGCCTATATATAGAATATTGCATAATAAAGCATCATTTAACTACCTTGTAATATGAAAAAGGAACTACACTTTTACCTTTAAGCCTCTATTTTTTGCAACATAATCATAATCGAAAATGAAACAATAACAGACTATAATGTTAAGAAAAAATGAAAATAAATATTACTGGAAATTCCCTTAAAGGGATAAATAAATAAATTAATGGTAAAAATAGTGGAGCTGTTGACAATTTTATACTGATGTCAACCAAAGAAATTTAGATCTTCCTTGCTTCCTATGAGAATGTGTAGGAACATCGTATGTCACATGATATATTCAATATCTCTGATGGTTTATGGTAAATGCATTAAACTTCCTGGTGAATTTTTTGATAACTCAAAAGTGACAACATCCACGGAAAACTTTATTAGCAATCTTCAACGTCAAATGGAAACATTAAAACCTTTAGAGTCAAAATATTTCAAAAGGAACAAAGTATTTGTGCACAAAGATTTAAGTTCATGTTCACATGTTTTTATGCGGATTGATAGAGTCAGGAAGCCATTAGAGTCTCCTTATCAAGGACCCTATAAAGTGATGGATAAGTCAGAAAAGTATTTTGTAATTAGTTATAAAGGAAAAAACGTAAGCATTTCAATAGACAGGCTTAAACCAGCTTATCTACTGAATTCTGAAAATGAGAATCCAGATTACGATGAAAACCTAAAAGCTGCAAAACCTAACGAATGTTTAACATCAAATAAATTACAAGAAAATGCAGCCAATTCCGAGCAAAATGTTAAAATGTCTAGATTTGGCAGAAAAATAAAAAAGCCTGTTCGCTTTGTAGAACAAAACTGTATTAATTAGATACATATACATTTATTTTATATATATACTTTTTATTGCATTGAAACTAAAATGGTATAATTTGAATATATGTTATATTAATATCTTGTATATATGTTTTCGTATTATGATGAGTCATTATGTAGTATAATTTTTGAACTGTATATATGCTGTTATATTATCATTATATGACAAATTTGACAAACTTGCCTAGCATCGTAACTTAGTTACTGGTGAGGGAGTATTGTAGGAACATCATATGTCACAGGTCTATTCATATTATTTTTATGAGAGTTGCGAATGGCAACAGATCAAAAAATAATAATAAAAAATGAGTGTTCTAAAAAATGTCTGCTGATCATTTTTATCCTGTAACTCTGTTGCGTACAAATGAAACGAAACGCTCATCATCAAAATATTTTAATATGTCGCTAGAAACGTCGTTGAATTAAAACTTTTGTAACTTAAAAAAAAAATTTACTTACCCCTTATGCTTTCGATATTTATAAAAAAAATATTTGTATAATATTATTTGCAGTTATTTATTTTTAAGATTAGCTTGTGAGCAATAAAAATGAATAAATAATTTACGAATAACAAGTTTATTTTTCCTAAAACGTAAATACTGTTTTTTTTATTTTTTTTTATTTTAAGAAATAAAACAAATATTATGAAAAGTTATGTTAAACTAGAGTTTTGAGAAAAAACAATATACATCGGAGATCTTTCTTTTTTTTCCACAAAGAAAAATAAATGCAAACCTCCTTAGCAATTTTAGAGGCGATTTCCTCGAAGTTTATATTCCGCAGAAACACAAATACATTTTTAAATTTTTTAGTAAAAGAATAACAATTTCGTTTAGGAAACAAAGCTGGGAGCTACCGCATGCAATTCGTAAAGACCAATCACAGCTGCTCTAATAATGTCAACAGTATGAATCACGTGGTCACAAATCAACGTCAAAAATGAACACAAAAAGTTTCATTCTACCGGATTTGGAGCTTAATCGCTCGTAGAAACGCGAGTTGAATTTTTTATTTCTAAAACAATGGTTTTATTAGCTTATTTTTTCACAGAGCTGGTATACACTATTTATATGATTAACCCTACCATATTATAAAAAATGTCAACCAATAAATACTAATAATAATAAAAAAATTTTTGTTTTAAATTCGTTTTCTGTTAATTTTTTTCTATTGCATTTGTGAAGTTTTTAAGTTTAATTAACGAATAATTTTTTATGAATATTATATAATTGGCCGTTTTTAGAAGGTGTGTAATATATTAAAAGTGTAATATACAAAGTGTAATATATTAAAAATACTAACATAAATAAATAAGTTATTAACCACATCAGATATTTGTTTGCTCAAAATGTCAATTTTGTCTTTAGAAAATGAAGTTTTGCAGAATATTTTCGATAATGCTGGGAAATTTTTCGTTACGTGAACAAATAACTTAAAAAATTCTGATTTTAATTGAAAAATTATATTTCATAAGTATATTTGCTGTTTTCTGAGAGATGGATTTTAACTTTTTTGGAGATACGTCTCTTTTGAAGGAATATGCTCTTTAAATCTTTTAAGAATCCGTATAGGTCCTAAGAAGTTGAAAATATTTTATTGATGTGTTTTTTATCAATACAGTGTAATTAAGTAATTTCGATTCAAATCCAAGTTGATCCAATATTTTTACGAAATCTTGTTTCACTGTCTTGAAAATGCTATACCTTCTTGAGCTAACACAATTTAAAATAAAATAATTAAAAAAAATTACCTCTATTTATTTTTATTAAGATTTTTACTAGTAATAATCTTTTAATTTTTTCAAATTGCATAAAACAATAAAAGGTTTATTTAACAGATTATAGTAAATTCCGTAAGAAAAGTTTGATAAAATTATTTTTATTAAAGTAAAAAATTACGTGGATATTTATCATTTTATGAAAAATACACAGTTTTGCCGAGAGTTGGTTTCGTTAAACTTATTTACACCGAACTTTACTTATTAAATAAATCATTATATAAATACATGATATTTAATTATTTATATCGTAAGTAATGATATAAATAATGAAACATATAAAATAAATAATAAATAAATAAAGATAAAATAAATAATAAATAAAAAAAGTGCAGGCAGTCATGGTGCCAGTATTTTTTTCTCCGTAAAATCCATTTTTACCTGAACATGTTAAGAAACAAAAAATCTGATAAACCGTAATTTTACGGTAATAGTTACCGTGAATCAGTCTAATTAAATAGATATTACTGTAAAAACTGTGGTATAAAAATGGATTTTACACAGTAATTTGATATGGAATTTTTTACAATGCGCTTCCAGCGAAAAAAGCTTTTTAACTTTCCTTTCAAACTAAAATGACTTTAAAACGAAAATTTTTTAAAATATTCTCATGATAGTAAATTTTTTTACAAAATATTTGTCTTGAAAAATGTTTAATTTTCCTGCAGAGAACTCGCTAGACTTTTAGAGGCATTTTAAATATTCTCTTTCTTCAGAGTCTACAAAGAAATTTTAGGCCTTTTCCGTAATTGTGAAAATTTGTTCATATGACTTTTTTTTCAATGTATTCTTAAGAACAAGCAACTAAATATTGTTCTATTTTTTTCCTTTTTTCAAATTTCATATTCAAATTTTACACTATCGTTTATTTCTTATTAGGAATATATCACTTGCAGGACCTTTAGAAAGAAAAAAAATTTAATTTATAAAATTATTGAAATACTGATCGAAAGATGTTTATACATATTTTATTGTTTAATTCTGCGATTTTTATTACAAAATTTTTCTTGGCTCTAACAATATGAAAACAGCTACTTTCAAAAATCAAGCTCAAAATCATCAAATATGATTTAAATAGTAAATAATAATAGCAATGTAGCATTATCTTCTCCTTCTTTAACAGCACTACAGCCCAGTGTAAGCCAATGCTTTCTCAGTCTGCCTCTTCCAGGCGGCTAGACTAGTAACTAGATTTTTCCATCTATTCACTCCCAATACTTTTAGGTCCTTCTCCACCCAGTTCAACCACCTTGTTGCCAGTTTCCCTCTCTATCTTGTACCTTCAATCTATGAAATGTTAGTTTTTCAGCTGGATCAGAATCTTCGCGACGAAAAACATATCCCAGCCATCTGATCCTGTAGGACTTAGTAACTCTCAAAATGTTCCACTGTCTAAATTTATTATACCAGTCACATAAATTAAAAATAAGTTTCACAAAAATTCGAAATTTTTTTAAGGATTAAAAGAAATTTTTTTTTATTTCTTTCTTATTTATATACATTATTTTTTATTTTTTTACATGGCAGAACCAATGACGTGGGACATCCTTATTTAGTCCTAGATATGCAGGGTCTAGGGCAAATGCATTGCTTGCCCCAACCATACGACAGCTCAGCTTTCCTGCAAACTTGATGAAAAATGATCGTGATGATTTTGTAACTACAAGCCTTTGTACGCCTTTAAACGTTTATTAGCATATTCGTGCTTTAATACAAATGTATTAAAAATCATTACCAATATCATACACTCGATAATGATAATCATTTGCCGAACCTGAACCGGATACATAAACATTGTTTAATAACTGTTTATATAATTATTTTCATTTTTTGGCGAATCATATTTTTTTAATAAAGATTTCAACTCAATCATTTATCTTGACTTAATAGTTCTTAATGTCTATCATAATCCATTAATGGTTCTTAAATACAACGAAAACGAAAAGAGTAATTACAAAAAATTGCAGATTAATTATTTAAAATGATAATAAATTGAAAATAAATGCTGATGTTTTTTAGCGCTACACTTCTTTCCCATATGACTTTGAATAGTGGTAAATTTTGTTATCTTAATGATTTCTTACTTTCTTTCTTTATTTTTGTTGTTGTTTTGTTTTGTTAATTTTATAAGATTGTGTTGAAAAGAGTTTAAAAGGGTTTATTAAATCAAGAAATTGTAAAACATTTTGAAACCTTTGCCGTATTCAATGCTGAATCACCAACTGATATCGATGATTGATTTAGAATTGATCAATAACAATTCAGATTGAATCAATAAATTTTCAAAGAGTTAAATGTGGGAAAAATAAATGATTAATAAAACATGGAGACATTTAATTTTTTTTAAAAGTTTTGTTCTTATAGGTATATTAGTTAATAATAAATCTATAGTATACCAGGTTATAATGTTTTAATCAATTATTGAAACTAATGCCAGTTATTTATTCTAGCTAGCTTAAGTTATGCGCAATGTTTTACTAGTATACTAGTGTACTAGTATAGTGTTACTAGTATACTAGTGTACTAGTATAGTGTTACTAGTATACTAGTGTCAAAATATACTATTTTTTACAGGGAAAAAATAGCTTTTTTAGTCATTTGTGCAGCAGTTTCAAACCGAAAAACTATTTAAACTTTTCTCTTATATTTTGTTTAATCAATTTTTCATCAGACAGATGGAAAATTTTATACATTAAAGGTTATTTTCATTAACAGTTAACCATCGTGATTGTAAATAATATTTCATAAAGATTAAAGTACGATTTAAAGAGATTTAAACTAGATTTTCAAACGAGATGTTATTAGACAGTTAACTTCATTTAATTGAATATTATATTTAACCAAAGATGAATTCTTTTTAGTTAAACGAAAACAAGCAAAATTAAACTGAAATATTAGTTTTATTATTCAAGTATGAATCGTAACTATTTATCATTGATACATTAATTTTAACGTGCTTTTAGATAACAAAGTCTTAACTTAAAATACGGTAAGATTCATAAATTAATAATAATGCCATAAAAGTTTTTAAAGAATTGCAGTTAAAAAACCTATTTTGTAATCAGAGTTTAACTTAAATATTGAATTCAAAACCGAACATTCAGATTCAAACGGTAAATTTCAGAAATTCTAAAAATACTTTTGTTGATGATGATAGTTTTGTTTTGTTGTTCATTTCCTAGTTTCGATTTTTAATAAAATATAATATAAGAAAATAC